TACCTGCAGCTTTATTTGCTTCGGCTTCCTCAAACACATTAAATCGTCTGTAATGTATAGAGATCGCAAAAGTAGCGTTTTTCCTCCACAAGAACCTAATGAAAAGAGAGGTCAGTAAGATTTTCTGCAGCAAATCAACAGAATCACCAAGACTAAGGCTTCTTAACTAAAACCGTGAACTTATTTGAAACAATTGAGTATTTACAATTTTTACTGGAATGTTAAGCACAAATAGCTACGACAAGAATTCACTAATATGGTTAAAGGAATGTTTGTTATTCGGTAACTCCAGGAAGCTGCATAGGCAACCACTATTATAAAATGGTTGCAATAGAAAATTGGGAACACTTTCATAAAGCATATCCTCCGATTGATCTTAAAGGACAAAAATATGATTGGCCTTACCTTTCAAGAATTTGATATGGATCGACGACAAGCTCAAGTTTTCCGTCAATCCACAAAGAATAGCGAGCATTTGGAAACATCCTATGGACAAGAAGCTTCGGCACCTACAAGAGAACGAGGTATCGGTATATAATTGGCCTTTCAAATCCATTTCTTTACTGTGTCCATTTTGGAATCAGCCTATCAGCAGTGGGATAAATGTTGTAAACTCAAATTTGATTTTCCTGGTTTTCTAAGGATAAATGTTGCTCTCCCTTTAGTAGTAAACAACGTCATTTCTGATCTAAAGCAAAAAGGCTGTTGTAACAGCAGTGTGGATACAATACTTTTGGAGCAAGATTGTAAAACTAAGGGGAAATTTCTAGCATGCCATTAAGTTCATGTTAAGTTTCGAGTAACTTAATGCGTAATGTCGTCCATGAACATTCCTAATCGAAAGATAAGAGAGGTGTATTTACCTTTCCATTGCGTCTTCCATCTGAATAAGGGAGATTATGAACAACAACAACTCTCCATATCCCTACTTTCTTGTTGCCGTCAAGGCCTCGTTCTCTCTTCAAAATTGATTCAGTTTCTTCATCAACAAACATATAGAAGCAAACTGTTTCCTCCGAATATTTACTGATATTTTTGGGGGCTTTTACATCATCAAAAGCATCTGAAAAAGAGAGAGATTCTTCATTAGAAACACTCAAAGTTTTGCAACACGACCAAAGCTGTTGATTACAAATAAGAAAAGTATCACGCGAAAGCATTACCAAATACAGCTGAAGCAACAACAATCCCACGGCACTGCTTCATTTCAAGAAGATCAACCTCATCAATGTCAAAACCTGTATTTCGACCAGGTTGAGGTCCCTTGACAAACCTGATTGAAAAAAATCATTGATGAGACAAAAAAAAGAAAAAAAAACAAAGACAAGGGGAATAAACTAGGCCACAAACACACTTACCCACAATGTACACTCATTGTTTCTTTAATGTCAAAAGAATCATTCCTATGTTTCAAAGTAGGATAACCGCCAAAATCTGACCCTCCAAACTCTGTCTCTCTGTTGACTGGTTCTTCATATATATACGTCAAGTTCTTAAGAACAGGGGAAAATGATGGCGCATTTGGCATCAATGCAATTGCTTCTTCTACTGGAAGGTAACATACCGGGCATGCTGAAATCAAAACCAAGCACAACTGCTTACAATACGTCTCTATCAGATGTTTCCAACATCATAATTTTGTAAGTGATCTCAGAAAAGAAGAAACCAAAAGTAATAAAAAAAAATTCGGAAAGAGACCAGAAAATCAAGACTTAGTATCTTACGGCGTGGTCCTGTTCTTTTTCTGTCGGCTGGTGGGGGAGGCAAGGTGAAACTGTTACAAGGATGTCCTTGAGGAAGCGTATATCCGAGAAAATGCATAGGAGGAGAAGGAGGAGGAGACACTATAACATTCGTTCCCAGAAAAGATATATTTCGAATACTGAAGTTTTCGTCTTCATTTGTTGGCAACATGTTGGAATGATGTACCACAGAACTGCCATTGAAATGAAGACTCGGAGGAACTTGAACTTCCTGACCATCTTCACCTGATCACCAAAAGAAAACTATACGCTCACAACGATTTCAAGTTCGGTTGATTTCTTCATAACTCCACCAGTTATAGGTTCTATCTCGAATCACTAATTGAATACATTACACAATCACAGAGCACTACGATCACCACTTCACACAACATTTGGTCACAATACTCCTCAATTCTAAACAAATCACACAAGCAACACTCCTCTTTACTAAGATTTGTTCATATGAACTAATATGAATCAAACTTACTCCAGATTAGAGACTAAATCCACAAGCTAAAACCTCGAATTGTCGGGAAATGATTAGGAAAAAAAAACGATCCGATAAAGTGTGATACCTTTTCCGACGTAGAGGACGCGAACGAAGACGACGGCGGAGATGAGGAAGAGGAGCAACATGCCCACCTTTTTACGGCCTGCGAATTTGCAGATCCAATGTACAATACCTTCCCTCTCCTTCTGCATCTTGGATGGTTTGGTACGCGTCGTAATCGTCTGTATAGGCAAAACGACGCCGTTGAGTCCCGTCTTCTCCAAGGAACCATAGCTACTGGATCGAACGCCCAATCCAGTCATCGTTCCCCTTTTCTTCTCCTTTGAATCACTCCATCAAAATCTCCCAAAAAAAAAGCTCAATTCGACGTTTCACTCAATTTCAGATCAAGAGCTTAAGCTTAACAACACCCACGATTGCTGGAACAATATTCGTTCAAGTTTAACCCAATTCGATTCTGGGTCTAATACGCAATCTGATCTACGAAATTCAGCTTAAACAGAATCCGAATCAAAAAGAATCTGCACCTCCTTTCCAATGAATGTAGAGAGAAACAAAAACAAATAAAGCTATGAAACGATGAAGAAGGGAGAATCCGAACGAAGGCGACACAGATCAAGAGAATTCGGAGGAAGAAATCAAAAAATCGAGGACAAAATCTAGGGTTTGTGATTGGTAGATAGGGTTTTTATCCCTCGGAAATTTCAAATCAGGGAATCTCTGAAGCAAAAACAAGGCCAAAAGTCACTCTTTCACCCCCACACACACGCACAAACAAAAAAAAATACTGTCAAAATTGACGAAGAAATAAATACTTCTTCCATAAATAAATCATAATGATACATATAATTCCGCGTGAGCAAAAATTAAAGGCCATATTAAACCAAATCTTTTATCCAAATTTTGTCTACTTCAAATTATGTTTTCATAATTTAATGCATTCATATAACTAATTTTTTTTTAAATGACATTTGTCTGCAAAAAATGAAGAAGAAGATTTTGTCTGTTTGAGTTTGAAAAAGAAAAATCCAAAAAAAAAAAGTAAGACTGTCTGTATGTGAAATGAAAAATTCTTAGTTTAGGTAAAATTAGTAATAAGTCTAAGGGAAATTAATGCACGTTAATTGTTAGTTTAGGTAAAAATCGTAAAATTAATTAAAAAAAGGCTGTCTGTAATGTGTCCATTACCAGTTTACAATTCTACGAGAATTGATGCACGTTGTTATTATTACGTACGAATTTGATTATATAAAAAAAAAAAAAAGTTTATAATCTCCGTCTTAAATATGCTGTACTAACTTATCTTGAAAGATTTATAAGGGACACATGGCGATTTGTTACTGCTGGGTGTGGAAACTTTAACATCTAATTAATAGGCTAATTATCATTGTCCAAACACTCATGTAAGCATCATTACAGAGTTTGTGACAACTAAGATATTAAATTAAATGTCACCACCTAGCAGCCATTCATGAATCCTGTCATTATTAGTCTCATCTGTCGCCCTATATTATACTACATCGTTTCCTAGTTTTTTTCTTTACAAAAAAACCTCCGCTTCATTTTTATAAGTATAGTTTTAATTACAAATAAATGTGATCTTCATTTTTTTATTTTACTTAGAGCATAAAAACATATTGTATCTCTCTTTTGTTTTTTTTCTTTATTATTTCTCGTGTTGTAATCTTGAGTAGTACGAACCGACCACATTACACAGAGCCAACAATGTGGCCTAATGATAAGAGATTTGATGGATTTATCTTATGTTTGTGGTGAGGGCATAGAGCAAACTGATATAAATAAGGAAAAGTCAACTAACTATACGAATAAGAAAAAATTAAATTTAAATTTCAGCGGTTGATGAAAACATTAGATGACATTATTACGTATAGGCCTGCGTTTGATGAGCACAAGGGTCAGAGCCAAAGCAGTGATGGTACCATGTAGGCATGTAGCTCGTGTTGCTGTGGCTATTCTTTAGCTTTGGCGTGCCCATCGTTTGTTGTGGATTCCATGTGCCCCATCCAAGTAAACGCGCCCAATTTCAAATTTATAGCGATCAAACCCAAGTTGCTGACGAAATCATCTTACAACAAAGTTATTTAGATTTCTCTATACATAACCTACATCAAAAATGTTTTTATTTTTAAGGAATGTCTCAAATGAACAAATATTATACTATATTTTTTAACCAGCAATATACACGCTATCAGTTAGTACCTCATCAGCTGCATCATTGGCCCAATTAATTACAAAGACTTTTGTTGAGTAATATATCTACATTTAATATATCTACATGCCATCATGTATATTTATCTTGTTAATGAGTTCACATATTTTGTCGATGATCATTCTTGAAAGGTATGTTTAACTTGGAATATATAAACCAAAAGGTGAATTAATTTTTGTGGTAAAAATACGTCCTAACTTTAATCTAGTTAATTTGATGTTTGTATAGTTGATCCCAAATCTGAAGTAAAAATAATAAAAAAATATACTTGCATTTGTTTGAAAATATTTGAAATAATAGATATTGTAGTTTGGTTTTCGAGAAACAAAAATCTAAAACCATGACAATAAAAAAATACTATTGAAAAACAAACCAAGAAGACGGATTAAAGTCAACGCGTTCAAATACAGAAACCGAAATAAACCGGAAGGAATCGTTTCGGTTTTACACTATCGGTTTTACATTCTCTCTTTCCTGGAAAACCCAGATTCCTCAGAAACCCGTGAAGAAAAAGATGGAGAAGAAGGAGAAATCAGAGATTTCGTCAACGGAAGCTGTTCTTCTTGGAGCCCTGGCTCCAGGCGTCAATGTCCGTATTAACTTTTCTGCTAATTCTTCTTCTATTTTCTCACCTTACCCCTTTGTGGATGCTGTTTCTCTGGTTAAACCCCTAGTTGGATCGGATTTTTTTTACAGGCTCCAACATGGAACACTTTGAGATTCGCGTTTCTTCTTCTGGGTCTCTGCCTCACTTTCATGCTCTCCATTGCTTTCACCAGTGGCCAATCCATGCTGCTTGTTCATGTTGGCTTTCTCATTGTAATCGCATCCACTCTCTTTATCCTCCTCAATTGGTATGTCAATTTTTGCTTCTCTACCTATGAATTCGATGGCCTGAATAAGTGATTTTATTCCCGTATTAGATCCGATCCAAAACTTTCTCCTGTATCTTACTCTAGTTGATCAACCCTTTGAGTTGTTCTGTTCAAGGATTCAAACACATTTCTCTGCGTTGCTGTTATTTGTGTGTGTGCACAGCTTAAATTTAAGGTGTTCCTGTTTCATGGTTCTAATGAGCAATTCTTCATCTTGCTCTTTGTGAAGTTGAGTTAGATACCATATAAGGGTTTAGTGTATCCTTCGAAAAGATTTCATCTTTGTGTCATCTTACTGTGGCCGAATTGTTGGCTAAGGTTTGTAAGATTCTAAAGGTTTTACTTGCGGGATGGAAAAAAAAATGAAGTAAAGAGATGAATGTTGTTGGAAATATGGAGTCTTTTAGGATCTTGAAGAGCTTACAATGCCTTTGCTTCTGCAGGTTTCTTGCTCAGACAGGCTTAGTACCAATTGAGACACAAATGCAGGAGCTGAACTTGGCACCTACTGATAAAAGCAAATGATCAAGCACAGGCTATTTTCTAGTTACTCTGACGCAGACACACAGTAACAGAACATTCAATTTCAACAGTAGAGAGATCAAGCAACGAGGAGGACTGGATTGGTGCAACAAGAATATCCAGTTTCTCTTGGAAGTAGACATCGACCTTTGTTTCCTCAAACCCTGTCCTTGGTTCACTCTTCTTGTTTTGTTTTGTTTTCTTTTCTTTCTTTGGCTTGACGAAGAAGAAGTATATAACAGCAAATGAACTGAAACAAGAACTTCATCATGATCAGGATTTTGCATTTCTCCAACATTAGTTCCTTTTTTTGTTTCTTCTTTCTCTGTTTCTGCTTCTCCAAAGCATCTCAGACTTAAGTTTATAATATGTTTATTCCTCCCACGTAAGAAGATTATTATTAGTGGACAGTGATTGCTCTCATACGTATCCATGTTTATATTGGTTTCAAGGCTAGTCTAACTCAAATTCATTCCTCACGACTTGATGGATTTAAACTTTTGGAAGTTTCCGTTCTTTGTTTGTTTATGTACAACAAGAACCTTTTCTTAATTTGGGTTTCCATTATTTTGAAAAAAATTGAGCAACGACACAAGGAGACAAGACGATAACAATAGGTACAACTTGCCAACTTGAGACAGTTTCTTGCAAACCCACTCACTCACTCACTTGTACATCTTCAGTTGTTCATATATGCAGGAGAAGGTCCTCTTAGCCTCTGACCATTCTCATTCAGCCACTCTTTCTCTCTCAGGAATCGAAGAAACGGTCCGGGATCATCACTGAAGTCATATCCGTTTGTTGTGCTTTGTTGACCGTTGAAGAGCTTCTCTCCTTTAGGTTCATGGCCTTCCATGTGTATCTGAGGGTAAAATGTTGAGTTTTCAGAAGAGATCATCGACTGATCATTTGGTGTACCGTACCTAGCTAAGAGACTGAACTTGGAAGACCCATGAGCCAAGATGTTCTTCAAATTGTTTGTGCCCTGAGCTTGATAGGTATAGGCCGGTCCAAGATTCCGACTTTCTCTGTATCGACGTAACCATTCAGAAGAAGAAATCCCAACAAATGGCGGGTTTGAATATGGCTTCACGAATCTTGTCTGGTCATAGAGGCTCTCTGCTTTGTTAGTACTAACGCCATTATGAAACCAAGAAGCATCTTCGGGCAGTAAAGGAGCAGACGGAGTAGGAGGTGTATACAAAGAAGCAGGATCCTCGGTGCTGCTACTGATGGAGAGACTATCAAAGGATGTGACAGGGATTGTTTCATCAATAGGGCTCAACCCGTTTGGTTTACTTAAACCGAATCTTCCATTCTCTTTACTCTTGTCAACCACCCATGCGCTCAGCGATGGAGGTCTTCCTGAGACAGTGCCTTCTTCTAGTTGCAAAGGTTTCTGATCCGTGTCCTTAGGACCTTGCATGAAGCTGAAACTTTCAGAGTTAGTATCCTGTGGGCTATGGTTCACAATGAGTGATGAGCTACGTCTTAGGCTTTCATCAAATGAAGTTGTGTTATTGGAGCTGAGTGGCTTCGTTGCAATGCCTGAAGAACAGATTGGAGCAGATTGACACCTTAGAAGCGGCTTGAGAAGAATGACTTCTTCCTCTTCTACAGGTGCAGATCTTTCATTCTCACTAGTGACACAACTTTTGTTACTTTCCTCTGGAATTTCTTGAAAGAGCTCTTCTTTGCATTGCGATTCACCTGAAGTTGTGTAAAAGTGAGTCCTTTGCTTGTTAAAGCATAACCACTTTTGAGAAGCCTTCTTCTGTCTACTTGTGATCCTAATAGCGGAATTAATAATCCGTTGAAGACGAAGCTCTTTCCCTCTATCAGGACTCTCTCTTAGATCCATGTCACTTGAGAAATCCAAAAGTGCTTGTATAGGAGCCAGAGGAGCCAATGACCTCAGTTCATGATCCTCCCAAAGAGCTACCATCATTTTAACAGAGCAGTTTTCACCATTCATCTTTAACCGGTTCAAGAAATCAACGAGCTTGCCAAAGAAGTAAGATATCGCAGTCTCGCTCTTCTCATCAAACCTGCATTCATATTCTTCTTTTTCTTCTGCCTTGTGAAGCAGAAACGGTAAGTAGTCTAGAAATACAAGTAGAGCAGGTAAGAGAGGGCTAGAATCCAAGGGAGACGTCTTCAAACATCTCTCAGCAACTCTACCCATGACGATGAACACCATTGTTAATGCTAAGTTTGTTAGCTCTGCTTCCTCTTTCGCGTTGTCTGATCCATTAAACTCGGCTAAGTTGTCGAAGATGAAGACGAAAACCGCAACAAGTTGGAGGATTCTATAAGGTCCTCTTCTCTTCGTGTCCATAACTTGATAAGACTCCAGCATGGCCTCTAGATCTCTATCATCTGCTGCAAACGCTGCATCCAATACTCTCATAGTTGATGCAAATGTGGAACCAAATTCATCGAATCTGAAACAAACCGAAAAGAATTACAGAGAAGAACAGTTTTGAAAGAAAAGGTCATCATCACTACAAGAACAGAAACTGTTGTACTTCATTCAAATGTTACTCATGATCAAAACTGACCTGGATTTAAGGAAAAAGAAGCTAGTTGTTCGAACAACCAGTGGCCATAAATCAGTTCCAGCCATTACTTCTCCTTTGTCTTTCGCAGTAACATTTCTCTCTGATGGGTTTAAGAAGTTGAACTGTGCATCAGTATACAGAGACTGCAAAGGAGAAGACCTGTTCTGCAGTAATGAAAAACAAGCATTTGAGCAGTGTAAGGCAAACACAATCCAGTTGCAGATGCTAGAGAGGTATCAGCGAATCAAAATCACCTTCTCAAACAACAAAAGAAGATTGTTGGAAGCACCAGGAAAAGGTTCTTTCACAGCTAAGCTCCTCACACAGTGGTACAGAGCCAAGAACTCATCACCAACATAAGTGGCCAATACAGCTAGCTACACAAACGGAAGAAAATCACTCAGAAATGTCAAAACAACAAAAGAAAAAAGGTAATGGAAGAAGAATTAGTTACCTGGTTATGAGGATTTCCACTATCAGGCCAAGATTTTGCAGCTTCAAGATAGTACGTAGCTGCGGTTGACCAGTTAGGATGTTCGTGTGTTTTCAGATACTGTTCTTTATACCTTTCAAGATCTCCAAGACAAATATAGAAACGATGGCACAAGAATCTGCTGTTTTGTTGTCCAGATTCCTCAAAGAGCCCGTGGTAATATCCTCTGACTTTTGAAATAAGATTCTGGTAAAACTCGGCGGCTCTCAACAGAAACAACTTGAATGCTTTCACATGATCATCTTTTTTGACGCCCTTACGGAACTCATCGATGTGTTTGTAGTGAAGTTTCCAGAGACAGAACTCTACTTCTTGAAGCTCTTCGTGTTGAAGATTGCTTTTAAAGATCTGCTCGTAGGTCGAACCTGCTTTGGCGTACAATTCTGAAACATCTGGATGCAATATACCCTTTGAGTGGATTAGTGTCCAAAGCTGTTTCTCAATGTTGTTTACCTGAGACACAAAAAAAAACATCATTGACCGTGTGTCGACAATAGGATTCTTGAAGCAGAAGCTTGCTGGGTTTAGTTACCTCTACAAGAAACTTAGGATTTTGTTTCTGATTAGCTGTATCGGCATTACTCTTGGATAATTTTCCATTAGAAGCTTCCATATTCTATAGAATCAGACAAATATCTTAGAGAAGACAGAGCTCAAAAGCCTCCTGCGAAAAAATGAAAGCTAACAAAGATTCAGAATTTCTCATTTACAGTAGAAAAAGGGAAACAAAAGATAGGCATTTCATACTTGTCAATAATCGAAGATTTAAGAACCAGTCACTGTAGAATTACAGAGCAAATACATCCAACGGACTCATGAGTGCTTGGTGAGCTAAAAGTCGCAAGCTTTTGGTGAAAACAGTGAAACCCAGAAGATGAAATCTCAAGAACACCAAGTAAGGTAGATTCAAGAATTACAGAGACGAAAGCATCAAGAAAAAAAGGAAAGGAAAGAAGAAGAACACACATGAGATTCAGCTTAAGAGAGATCACAATCACAGAAACAAAGTAGAGAAGGGAAGAAGAAAATCGGAGAAGAGTCTGTGTGACTCTTTAGACGGAAAAAGAAAAGACGAAAGGAAAGAGGACTTTACCAGAAGAAACTTTGACGTACGGACGTTGGGATAGGAACAACTAAAGGTAGAAGAAGCCAAGCGAAGTGTATCACATGGAAGAGAGAGAGAGAGAATTTTGGCGGATAGATTGCTCAGTTGTGAAACAGACAAAGTAGAAAGGTAGCTGAATTAATGATAATGATGATGATGCTGAATTGATGATGATGATGATGATGGAGATGCAAAGGTGGATACATATCTAATCCATTATTCCACTTCTTCTTCTTTAGTGCCTGCCCCAAACAATTGAATTTTTTGTTCTCCTTAAAATTTCTACAATGATTTAACCATACTATAATAAATTATTTTCTTAACTCACTTTTAAAAATATTCCTTGACGTTTAAGCCAAACCTTCCCTTTTTTAAACTATATCATAAGATTCATAACTTTAGTTACAAATCAATAAATTGTCTTATTCAATTTTTTTTTTTTACAAAAATCATTATTTTACAAAATAATTGTCTTACTCTATTTTGATAAATTCATTAAATTTTATTTAGCACAACACGGTCCACACCACTGCCTTCCAACTTTCAAATTTAATAACTACGAGTCCGAACTCCTTTAATATTTTCTAGTTCGGTTTCAAAGTTAAACTCTGGACTTGTCTAGGATATGACATAAATATGGATATAATCTTATAAAATATGCAGTAGACTGAAATAAACTATTCACTGAGTAGCTAGACTTTCGTTCAAAGTCACGTCGTATACTTTGTATATTTTCTGGTCAGATTTCCACGACCAATTATTGTATTTTGTGTGTGTTTATTGCGATTCTCCTGTGTGATAATCTAAACTATTAGAGATTAAAAGATGATAACAAAGTTTGATTTCCACGAAATCTTCACCTAAACCTTGATTTTTATAGTAGAAAAGTTCTATTAGAAATTGTTACTCCACAAATCACAGGTTAGCTTTACAGTATTTGTCACTTGACATCACCCTCTAAAAATGACGTGTCCTTTTATTTGTTAGAGATGGACCCATTCGAATTAAAAGCAAAGACAAACTGTGCACGTAATTGAATGGAAATTTCTTTCGTGTTTTTTTTTTCAATTAAAATACATAATGAAGAAATATCTTTGGTGATTGATGTCGATATTTTTTATTGACTTTTTATCATAATTAAAAAAACGTTATTGTTGAGAATTATATTCAAAAGCACCCCATGATGGTGTCTACGTACAAACTACAAAAGTAAGCCCTCCAAAACTATCAAGAGACATTTGAAGTTTTCCCATTTCATGTTTTCAGAAAAATAAGCAAAATCGGGTTGAGTTATAGTTTTGATTCCCATCAAAGACATGCTCATCTTACACAAATGTCTTTACTTAAAATCACAAACTCGGTCACAAAAGAAAAATAAAACATTAACCAAAACAATTTATTGTAAATCTGATTGGCACATTCACCAGAAACGACTATATGGCCATTCTTTCTAGAACAACTGACCTTGATGTCTCTCTAACGTGACTCGCGGTCCAATTCCTTCTTCTTCCATTTATGTTGGGCCACGGCTTTCTAATTTGGTTTTCACAGCCCAACTGCTTAGGTTTTCCAAACTTTTCTGCTGGATCGGAGGCTTCTTTGCATCGACAGAATCCTCAAAGACATATCATGATTATATTTGTAAATCTACGTTACAATACCATTACCAACCTCATCAGACTAACATTGTGGTCAAAGTGGGATGCATTATTTTATTTTCTGTCACTGTGTATTGTTATACTACTTTACCGGAATTATCTTATAAGTTTCCAAACCCTGTAAAAAACATAGGATCTGTCGATATAATTAAGCAATGATCCAAGGACTCTAAAATGTGTGCTAATTAATTACTGAGGATAATGAAGTTGTTAGAGATATCTTTCTCGAAGATATGTGTTTACATGCATGATGCATGAGAAGCTGAAGACCTAACGCAGAGTTTTGCATTTGACGTAATCAAAAATTCCAAAATATTACTAGTAGCGTACGCGTTATACTACTCACTCTTCAGTTTTTTTTTTTGAAATTGGTTACAAAACTGATGATAAAACGTTTACGTGCTAATTTGAGCATTTGATTAATATCTTTACCCGATTAAAGAGGAGAGCCAAATATCACTTAACAAATTTAGATCTAACCACCGAGCGGAAAAATGGGACAAAATCAGACCTAAAAAAGAGGTTAAAACCCCAATTTCAAAGTAACAGAATTAACGACCACAAAATAATAAAAAGCAAAAATCGCACTCTATCTGTCTAACCCTTTTTTTATCGCCAACAAAACCAATCCTTCATTTGTTCTTCTGCACAATCTTTAAAACTTCTATTTCACCCTCTCCTTTTACAAGGAAAGGGCGTAGAAGATACCAAAAACTTGAGCAAAAGAGAATTAATAACTCATCTATACAAAAACAAAAAAAAAAAAAAAAAAAAAAAAAAAAATCATAATGGGTGTCAAGTTGTTATTCATCTTTGGCCTATTGATCTTAGCTATGGTAGCTAAATCCGTCAATGCGACCTACCCATTGACTAAATCTTGCATAAACGGGCAAGGTTGCATCGGAGATGACGATGAGCTCGAATCTCTAATGGATTCGGAGACAAACCGTCGTCAGCTCGCAAGGGGACGACGTTACATTGGCTATGATGCTCTCAAAAAGAACAATGTGCCTTGCAATAGACGTGGCCGATCTTACTACGATTGCAAGAAGAGGAGAAGGAATAATCCTTATAGGCGTGGATGCAGTGCGATCACGCATTGCTATAGGTACGCTAAATGAGAAAGACAAATGATAGAGAAGGAGATTTGGATTCAACACCGTTCGATCTTCGTTCTTCTTCATTCTTGATCGTTGATTTTCGTTCTTAACGTACCCTATGTTATACGTATGATCTATATTCTTTTTTTCTTTCTTTTAAATTACTACTTTTGTTCTTTTTTTATTTTTTTTATTTAATCATCATCATGATGCATGTAAGCTTTTGATTCTTTTATATATCGCCTCTTTTCCATTGTTGTTGTCCTTTTATTTCGTTTCGTTCATATATTAAGTTCCGTTTCACTATTATATACATCATGATGTTTTAGTATTTTATAAGCATTTATTTTTATACGAGACCCCAAAATTGGATCTCTTTTCATCTCTTTCTCCTTTTGTGTTTTCATCTCTAAAACAAGGTGGCAAATTTTAGGATTTTGCATCGGAAATTATAATGAGACCTAAATAATACATACATAAGAATGTCAATTTATTATTTGTCATTTAATTTTGAATTAGAAAATCATAAAACTTAATATGATACTATATATTAGTGTCTCAGTTTACCATGGCTAGTGAATGACATATAAATAGAAATTATTGCTGGATACTAAAGTAGAATCCAGTTCGAGATAAGACGGAATAACCATCATCTCCATATGGCACATCAAAATTTGTGATGAAACTTAAAGAACATATTTTTATAAATGTGTATTTGTCAATTGTCAGCCATTTTATTTACCAAATTAGTTTTGAGTTACAAGCCCATAAATTAAACTGAAAACTTTGGTTAATTATATATCCAACTCGATCGTAGTAGTAAATGGAAAGGGTTATTTCTTATGTTTTTAAGAAGGTGGTAGACAAGTAAACAACCTTGGATTGATGATAAATTATACGAAGTTTCATGCTTATATTACGGAATCGAGAGTAATATTTTTGGATATATATCCACATTAAACTTTTGAAAGTATATCTCCACTGTTTCTGTGAGCAAATCAAGAAGTAACTCAAATCCTCCAGTCGATTACCGGATATTTATTATGAACAAAGCACAAATTAAACCCGTCCACTGTTTTTGTGATATCAAAACACGAGTTTTTGTCGTAGTGGTGTGACAAAAATGAAAAAAAAAAAGTATTGGTTAGTAGGATAAGTGTTTTGGGGCATAAATCGGGATCTCAAATCAAACTTAAATTTGAATTGCAAAAGCCCAAACCAAGCTGCACATTCATCATATCTAGGAGAAGTGTTTTAGGGTCCAAGTCATGATCTCAAACCAAACCTTAATCAACTTTTTAGAAACACATTTTCTTTGTAACACAAACCAGCGAGTTTATACCTGAAATGGGTGACAATTTGGAACTGAAATGGGCGACATCATATATTGGCTGCATTTATAGTCGCTTAAGATATGATTTAATAGCTCAATACTAGAGAACAATGTCCAAATTTTTATCCAAAACGAGCAATAATCTAACATAATATGTAAATGACAATGCTTCACTTATTGACAAATGGCTTTAAATCAAAAATCCATATACACACAAACTTACAAAAATGAAAAAACAAAATCCTTAAAACTTCTAGAAGTAACCGCGTCTATAAATGCAAATGAGGATTGGTTTTATCTTTTTCTGTTAAATTGTTGGTAGATTGTTTCAGGGAGTAGAAAATGTAAAGTATTATTAGTAATAAACTTATAGAGCTGAGAGCATCAACCGGTCGTACTCGAAACAGGTTTCAAGTTCATCGGGCAGTAGACTATATTGTTCTTCAGTTTAGGCCCATCCTGTGTTCTGACTCATTTGCTTGCTGTCTTTTTATATATATAAGGAAGATAACGTTACTTTTTTGTTTGTTTGTCTGAGGAAATGAGAAGAAGTTTCATGGTCACAAGACCCACCTGCAGGCTGCACTACTACTTCATTCAGTATGGTCTTTTTCCAAAGTCATTGAATTAAAAAAATAAAATGCAAAAAATAGAGCCAAAGAAGACTTTGAAGTGAGATGAGAACCTAACTTCAAAAACATTATTGCTATTCACACCACATCTCTCCATTACTTTTGACTCTTCTTCTATTGCTTTTATTTCTAAACCACAAAATAAGTTTAGTCTAACAACAACAACAACACTAGTAAAGGAGATTTTTCAAGTACACTTTTTATACGCCTTTTGTGATTTTCCTCATTTTTGTTTGTTTGGAATATATTCTTATAATTTCTTCTATATATATAAAAAAAAAGCACTTGTCATCTTAATCTTGGTATCGTTATATTTAAGGAATTTAGGTACAGCATCGTTAAAAAAGGATTGGATTCTAGTGGGTAAGCCTACCGATAGAAGAATAATACATCAATGAAAATTGTTTTCACTAAAGAGTGAAAAAGGAAGAAAAAAAAACATCTTTTAGGATATTTAATTTATTTTTAAAGGAAAGAAAATTTAAATGGGTCAACCGCAATCGCTCTCAGTGGCACCACTAATAGTGGAAGTGGGCCCTCAACATCAACTCTCTTCACATGAGAATTTTCAACCTTTTAGAGAGAGAAAGAAAGAGATAGATACGGTCCACCTTATATGAGATTGAGTCCAAGTTTTAATTTAATCTGGTCTAAAGACCATTTAATGACAATATTAATTCTTAATTGCTTCTATAGACCACGTCCCATTTGTGCAACTAATCAAAACACCTACAAATTTGAAAGTTTCCACAAGGCTAATTCCTTTTTCCTTTTTTTTCTTTTTCCCCACTTTTTTTCCTAAACCAAAACCTTTGACCAGGAAATATTCAAAGGGCATAATTAAAAAAAAAAAACTAAGAAAATATCAGATGGGGCCATTTTGCATATGCCCATTACCTCAACTCAATCCATATGCCTTAGTCCACCACTTTCAAGTTTCAATTATATTTGAAAATGAAATTTAACCATGATTTTTGACCCAAGTTATTAAATCCAACAGTGACCAAGATGAAATTGTACTACAGTGAATCAAACTGTATACCCATACAACACGGTTCAAAACTATTTTTGTACAGTATATAATTTTATGAATAGGTTAATAATAAAAATAGGTCAAAAGGGTCATAATCTCAAAAACCCAATCAAATCATGAAAATGAAATCAAAGAAAACAAAGGAGTGGAAAAAATAGTCAAAAGATTCCTTACCCCTTAATTAATACTCTCTCTTTAGACAGCTAAGCCCCACTCTTTTTCTTCCTTCTATCCAATTTTCTTTTCTAGTTTCTTGCTTTTTCAAATTGTGTTCTCCTTTTTCTAAGGAGAAAGGAAGAAATAAAAATATACTAGTATTTTTATAAGAAAAATCTCCTTTGTTTTTTTTTTCACAATCCTTTTCCCTTGTTACCCTTTCAATTTATCAACAAATCCTCAGCAAATGAAGCTTGGACCAATTTGGTTTCTCTAAAAGATCAATAATCTTTTCATCACTTGTTTACTCAAAAACAAAAACAAAAGTAGGATGCAATGCAACTAGTTGTGTATTGACTAATACAAATACAATTTTTACTGAACTAGAGTACAATTTTCTCGTTTCAGTAAAAGTTTACCATTTACAGTAACAAAAAAAATTAAACTTTCACGTTCAAAAGCTAACTGTGAAAAACACTAATCTAATTTCCATATTTAATTCATTCATATCTTGTGTAATTTTTTCAGATTAAACTTATCAAGAATCAAGTAAACAAGCCAAAGATGAGCAATTCAAATCAATAACATAAGAGAGATTAATACACAATTGAAGGGATGATTTTAAAATTCGCAATTGGCTTCGTAAACATCTCATCTCAGCATTACAATTTCTCGTATATAATTCTCATAAGGATTCATCTCAATTCCCATTATAATATATAATTAAGATCACAAAGGAAAGGATTAAAAAAAATTAAAGTAAAATAGGGAGAAAAAATTAGAGTTTTTTTTTCATGAAGTTGAAGCTGTGGAAGAACCTGAGACTCGAGGTGAAGTCACGGGAAAGAGAGGAAGAAGACGAGGCTCGGGATCCATCGGAGTTGTCGCCGGAGATGGATGCAGATAAAACCCTTTCTCTTTCATCGCTTTCTCTTCCGCATCCGTGCTTGATTTCGCGAACCCGAGCTCGCTGGGGCTCTGATTCGACGACCCGGATCGATCAAACGGGTCGGGTATAAGAGGAGTGACCGGGCTGAGTACGAGCGACGGGAAATCGAGGATGCTCGGAGAGAGGATCTCTGGTTTCCGGGGCGAGAAAGCCGAATTAACCGGGTTAAAAACCGGGTTTAACGGGTTGATTTTGAGATTCTTCATCGAATTGCGGCGCTCGTAGAGACGGAAACCGGAGGAAGAAGAGGATTGTTTCTTGTTCGGTACGGCTTTGATTGGAGGGATTGAGAAAGAAGAAGGAGAGGAGGATCTCGGGTCGGGTTGATGGGTCGGGTTGGGTTTAAGAGAGGAGGCGTGGTGTTTGGGTCTCTCGGAGGATCCGGTTAGCATCTGGACGACTTGTTTGAAGGAAGAAGTATCTGCTTGGACGAATGTTGTCGGGTACGGGTTTCCGGATTCGGATCTAGTGGTTACGTGTCGGGTCGGAGTTGTGGGAGGTTTGTTGCTTTCAGTGCTGCTGCTCATACTGCAGCTGCTGCTGTTGTGGCATCTCGGCGACGGAATCAGATTCGTTGCAGCATCTCTGTATCTCGGCGAATTTTCCATTGAAGCAGAGAGAGAGAGAGAGAGAGAGAGAAAGAGAAAATGTGTGTTTTGCTAATAAACTTTGTTTGGTTCGGTAAGTAAAATGTTTCGGTGGGCGCTATTGGCTCTTTAGTCTCTTTCTAATTTTTGGGTCTCCTCACTCGCTGACCGTAGAGAGTGATGCACACGCGCCGTCGTCAAGAAGGAAACTAAGTCAAAAGGGAAACTAAAGTTAATAAAAAACTCTACGAATGTGTATTACTCAAAATCATTCAAAGTTTACAAATATATGGTGATGTTTTAAGTTTTTGGAACAATTATCTCCGATTAACCGTGGAGTAGCTAAGGATTCAAAATAATGGTAATTCGGATGAAGTTAAGGATATGACAAATACCACAAAAGATAACAAAAACTGGATATACATTTTCCATTTTGCACCTCTTTCTTAGAAAATAATATGACTATGAGTTAAAAAAATTGGTGGACTTATTTTTGTTTGCTAGAGCAATTTTTCCACACTTGTTGTGACTCATCATTGCCTATGGTTCTAGTCTCACAATAAATGATACAGGTAGCGACTAAGTCCTAACAACGACGATATCATTTCCGAAATAACATTTCATTTCCTAAGAAGAAAATGTTGAACTCAATAACCAATGATATTTCACATGACTGGGACATTATGTGACCTTTTTGGTCAATATAATAAATTCCCATAAGGTATATAGATTTATCTACGTGTCGATATATATATATATATAGATAATATGTTCAGCCAAGAAATCTTTTTTTAGAAATAATCTAATCATTTGGTTGACTAACTAAAAATAAAGGATATATATTGGGCTTTTATACATTGGGATGGATATACATAAACGATGCAAGAAGGAGTTGTTATTAATGGATATACATTGGGCTTTTTATACACTGAGTTTGGGCTCATAGTTTTTATTCGGAAACTCATGCGTACTTATTTTAATACAATTTTGGTACGTTTACCAATCGAGTTCGGTGTCAGTTAAGAAACAAAGCCCGTTTAGTGTGCATTTTCTATTTTGGTCACATTGTTTGAATTTTGATACGAGAACTTAGGGACTAACATTCGGAACTTTGTTCCTTTTTTCTGTTTGTTGAAATTTCGTGTTAATCGGATTGTAGTAATTAGTACTTTAAGTTTAATATGTTGCAACAATGCTAATTGATTCGCTTCTAGCAATATTTGATTGCAGAAACGATTAAACCTCTCACATATAGAATTTTGATCTCTCATTTGGTTAAACCTCTCATATACATAGAATGATACAACAATGGTTTGGTGATCAGATTTGCAAAATCGCAGTGTCAATCTTTCTCAATACTCTTTTTTTTTAATTGGGAAATCGGAAAAATCCTCAACGAAAAATGAATGATTCGTACTCTGAAGCTCCATCACTAAATTGTTCCGCCACTGTTAATCACTTTATTATGTTTTCTCTTATTTCAACGAGTCGATAAAACTCTTCTTTTTGTGGTAATATCTTTAAATTAATATTTCTCCTTTTTTAAGTTTTGAGATGTGATAGGAAATTATGTCAGCCACGTGGCCGACAGTTTCGCAGCTGATTTTTCTCCGAATCCAAGAAGCCACTAGAACGTAAATAGAGCCCCTATTCGATGATTCCCTTTCTTTTGTGATCAGATTTTTTTTTGTCTGGACTCTGGAGCGTAATTATATATTTTTCATTTTTAGTTTTATCAAGTAAAAATGAAATACAGATTTAAAATAAAATAAAAATGATAATACTACAAACAGTCATATATTCTCATTGCAATTATTAAAAATTTAGGATAATTTTTTTTTATATAAAAAGGGCTAAATTTAGGATATTTACCTAGCGCCTCAATTCAAAATCATACGTATGCCTCCATTTATCTTAGCTTCTAAACACAAAATTCAGAAACTTTTCACATTTTCTTTTCTTCATTCAATAATGGACTCATCTCATTTCAGTGATCTCAACCTTAGATTAAATCGAAAATCTTCTCGAAGCAGGCTATTTTATTCAAATGAAACTTAAACAAGGTCACTTAAAAGACAGATTCATAGAAACACACCAAGCATTTTAACTTAAAACTAGCTAACATTACAATTCCACAACACATAACTCTCTCTCTTTTGAACATGATCGTAATCAAGAAAGTAACACAGCATCATCGTCTTCATTTGGGGCAGACCGGGTTAAACGCGAACGGACCGACGTTAAAGATACCGTAGACGAGCTTGTTAATGACCACCGCAGATTTTCCAGGCGTTCTCTCCGGCTTGAGTACGGCACCGACATCTCCATCCATAAGCTTGGAGACTTTGTTGCATTTGTAGTCCTTTGATTTCACCAGATACGCACGGCATCCTGTGAAACCGAAGTTGGTCACCGTCTTAGGAGCCAACAGCAAGAAGTATCCGTTCTTGTCTGTCTTTGTCTCTGCGACTATGTTCTTCTTTATTCTCTTGCACACTAGTCTCACCACAGCACCTGAACAAAACCATAAAGAAATGTTAATAAGATTCATAAGATTATCATTTGGACTAATGGAAATAGTTTTGCGCTTTATAATTATTTGTTTGGGGGTTCGTGAAATTTATGTGACAGACTGTAAAAAACAGTGACTCATGAGTGCAGGAGTGCATATAATCACTTTATTAGTTTTTTTACCTATTTACGAAACATTATTGACTAGTTTCGTACCTATGGTCCCACTTGTAACGTTTTCAAAATTTGAATTATTTTTCGAAGTTTGCGTCATGGTTTGATGCCAAGTACGTATTGTTTCACAAATACAGTATATGTGTACAGTATTGAGTAAATGCGTATGCAGAGCAGAGCAGCAACAAGTTCATTTTTCCCCAAGTTTATTAATGCGTATGCAGAGCGGAGCAGCAAATTGATTTAAATGTGTATAAAATAAATAATGAAAGTGAAAGAATGTACTAATAAATAAATTAATAAAGTTCTAACCTTCAACGGGTTTAGCGTCGTTGAGTGTTTTGGGGTCGGAATAAGCGTATTTGCAGCTTCTGCAGTAAACCGTACCCCGAACGGCGACCAGGCTCCTGTTGAACTTGGGCGGGTAAACCGGCGGCATCACTGGTGGCTTTGCCGGAGGAGAAACCGGCGGCTTGGTTGGTGGAGAGACGGGAGGCTTAACCGGGGGTTTAGTTGGGGGCTTAACGGGGGCTTTGGTCGGAGGGTAAACCGGAGGCTTAACCGGAGACTTGGCTGGTGGTGAAACTGGTGGCTTAACCGGAGGCTTGACTGGAGGCTTAACCGGAGCTTTGGTCGGAGGGTAGACAGGGGGCTTAACTGGAGGTTTGGCTGGTGGTGATACTGGTGGTTTGACCGGGGGATTGACTGGAGGCTTCACCGGAGCTTTGGTCGGAGGGTAAACTGGAGGCTTTACCGGAGCTTTGGTCGGAGGGTAAACTGGAGCTTTGGTTGGTGGAGAAACCGGCGGCTTAACGGGGGCTTTGGCCGGTGGGTGGGGGTGAGGGTGAGGGTGGTGGTGATGGGGAGGGTGTGGGTGGTGGTGGCCGTGGTGGTATGGAGCAGGAGCTGGAGCAGAAGAAGGAGTTTGGGTTACATGGTTCACTTCGAAGGCAGAGGAAGTGAAGCACCAAAGTGCTATGAAACACACTATTACACTTTTACCCAAGAACTCCATATTTTGTTTTGGTTTTACTTTGTTACCGATATGTATTGATGAGTTTAGGAACTGGGGGTGTAGTATTTATAGGAGAAGTTCAGTGTAATGAAATAGCTTCTTCTTTTTTTCTTGTCTGAAAATAATAAAATATCTTCTTCTTTTTTTACAATAAAATATCTTTAAATCGATGGAAATTAATTAGTACTCCAGTAATACCATATGAAAATAATAAAAATACTAATATAGCTAAAAGTTGTTGTCGAGTAATTATTTACTTTATAAGATAATTAGTCTACTACATCTGAAAAAAGTATACTACAAAAATCATTACCATCAAGTATATGATCACTTAATTTCTACAATCAATCCACCATATATTCTTCTGTTATTACATCATTTTTTGTAACTTTAATATTATTACTGTTAATTCATATGATCACTCAAACTCATAACATGATATTAGATTTTTTTTATCTTTTATTAAAAATTAAATTTATTGTTTAAACACTAAAATACTTTCAAAGTAAGAAATCAAAATAAAAAACAGTGAATGTTTGGGTTTTCTACTAAGTGGTTCTAGTACAAGACTATAGTTGCAAAAAATTGACAAGGTGTGTGCTTCTAGCCAAAACAGTTTCAAATATATTTTTCCACAAGTTGTGTGAGCTGTGAAATACGTTTGTTATGAAACTTGTTATGGCTTTCAACGTGTTGGTTCAGTCAGGTGTTGAGCGAAAAAAAATCTACTAATTGTTGATTAGAATGTAAATAGTCAAAATATATGATAGTGATATAGGTTCATTAATTTTTTTCATATGATCAAAATTAATATTATATATATTATAAATGTAATAAAATTTGCAAACTCATAATATTTTAGTATGCTATCAATTTTCTATTTTAAAAAATGAATTCAACAGAAAGTATAAAATTAAAAATAGATGCTAATATATTTTAGAAAATAATATAGATAAACGTAGAAATTAGATTTTTCTATTGGTATTATTAAAAAAATATGAGTTTTGGGACAAATAAAATAGATAAAAATTTAAGAATTATATTTTTTAAGTAGCATTGTAAAGTTGACCAAAAAAAAAGTAGCATTTGACAGCTGATTTAAAATTCTTTTGGAATGTAAAATATGCATGTGTGTTCTGAATTTACTATGTGAAATGGGAACTTTAGTTATTACAAATTAGAGTTACATATCATATTGACTCATCATTTGAAATTATAGATATTTTGTTTGGTCGTAGAGTTGTGATATAGTTTAGGTACGTTTGACAATCGATTCATGATGTAAGAGTATTGCAACAGTTGTCCTACTAACCACGATATTATATTGTTCTTCAACATGCTAAGTGTGTAGTGTCAAAATGAGTTTTCCATTACTTATACAAAGAGCTTGTCCTCTTTACTCTAGACATCACTTTCCACTTGGAAAAGTTGCAAGAAACCTTAATTCGAGACTTCAACTTTTGTTAAGGGTTTCGCAGAAAACGGACATCACAGAGCTTCTAAAAGATCTGGCTTAGTCTTCCTTCTGTTTTTTCTATGCTTTCTTAGTTTCTTTAGTTATGTTTTTCATGAATTGTTGTTATGAGTGATATCTTTTTTTTCTTATGGTTTAGACTTTAGAGTTGGCATTAGGTTAACGTGAAATAACAAGTGGCACATAGCTCATCTAGAATAAACTTCTGATATATTAATACATTACGCAATTCTCTAATACAAATATCGTTCATGCGGAAACAATAGCACCATTTCAAATTTGAATCCATCATAGTCGAAATGCTTTTCTCCAAACAGTAAAGCAAATTATGCTTGGATATTTCTCCTGCCGTTTGTCTGGACTAGTTTTTTTTCTTTCCATGTCCAATATATTTAGTTTAAATGTCTAATCGATTCACGAATATATAGGTTTAAACCCACCATTTCAACAATGATTAATAATATTCACGAATGGGTAAGTTAAATTACTACCGTTGGGGAAAAAGTTTTTTGGATTTTAATGTACCTGCAAAAAGTATGGGAAATATGATAGATTCATTGGACCCACCCTATCAATAATTTTTATTTTCAATTTAAACCTATCTTTGGATGCTTTGGTCTAATTAACGTCTCCCTATGAATACAACACAATTATGAGCCATTATTGTGAAGATGTTTAAATCGGATAACGCGAGATGTATCATCACATTTACAAAGTAGACTAATCATTATTGTCGTTGGAATGATTCTTTTTGCTTTTATGAATTTCAGATTAAAAAACAATTAAATACGCCCAAAATAAATATCCATCGTGAACTCACCACTTTTTCCTCCAAGATTTATGCCTACTTTGGTGTTAGATTGTTAGTCTTTGCCCTTATATTTATGTGTGGAATAATCAATTTCATTAACATATACTATAAGTAGTACTTATTTACTTATCCGATATTAATATTATTGGTACGAATTTGCGCATTATAAAAATCTCATTTGGTATTATGGTTTTTCCAATCTCATTTGGTATTATGCTCTGGATCTCATTTTTGTGGCTAGAAAAAAACACCCCATTAAAAATCACTATATTTACGAAACATATGTACACTACACATAGATTTTATATTCAAAAAATACTTAAATAAAATATTTATGGTAGTTTAATATTTAGATTTATTATTGTATTTGTATTTTACATCTTCAATTTAACGACGTTAACAAACATCGCTAGCTAGGTCTGCTAGACAAAAAAATATCTCAACAGCGTTGCATTTGAAGTTTAAATTTTGACAAAAATTTATAACAAATGTTTAAATCCAATATCGTCTAACTTATACTTACATAGTTGCATTATTCAAAATTTTGTTTAAGTTCGTTAATTATAGAGCGTAAGACGATGATAGAGTTTGGATAGTAATTATATCAGCTAAGTGCTTTATTCGTAGTATATGTTTGTGAAGTCCACAAAAATTGGATAGAAACAACTTAATGATCAGGGATTTTTTGGTGGGATTTTGTCTTTAAACTATTTACACAGTTCATTTTGTGTTTGTTGTTCAGATAAATGGGAAAGACAAAAATCAGCTGCATGCAAAATAATAGAAAAAAGCTCGACCTGAAATAATCTAGTACAATGCGAAGGCTGACTAGATATATCATATATGTTACTCTGTTTTTATTGTCGGTCTACATTTTATATACTATATAATAAGGTAAATTACAAAGGGGAGGACTTTTAAAAGTTATACAAATGGGAAAAACTTTAGAACGTTAAAAAACTGATATCATCCGATCTACTTCACGCTGTATATATATATCATGTTATTACGTCTCTTTTCGATAAGTTTCGAATAACTGAAGTTTGTACTAGTAGCATATACTAGTAACTCAATTAAAAAAAAAGAAAAGAAAAAATATGTACTAGTAACAGATAAAACAATGCGGTTTTCGATAGCATATTGATAGAATGCGAAAAACCCATATTAATAGATAAGAGTCATAAGAGTAAATATTTGTAAGAGTGACTAAACTGTATGAAAACTTATCTTGATGAATCAATATGTATGTGTCTGGTTTGTATAATCTTGGATTTTTAACGACAGAGTGTACGTTCTTTATAGAAGTATGGCGCGTCAAGGGGAGAGACAGTGTAGTTTACCAATCGATTAACTTCTGAATGTTTGAAGTTTATCGTTAGAGAATATTATTACCTGAAGTGGCTAAATTCTAAGAAAACGCCTCAATTCATTTCATACGTAGTCCATGACTCCATGTTTCATGGTCCACACATGACATTTACGTACTTGGTGATCATCACATTGCGCATTTAGTTATGCATTTACTATCCTGTGTTTTCTTTATATCGGAACTTAGAGTACTTTGGAAATTGGAACTCAATTACCCTATAATTTATCGGAAGTATATACAAGTAGTATAATTTATATACATGTTGACACATTTTTAAAAGTCATTGCCCAAATTCTCATATATTGTATTCCAAATGCTATAAATGTATAATTAGATCTGCGTAGCATACATCTAGATGTCAACTGGCTTATAAACTTACTTAGATGTCAATTACTTTCTCCGTTTTTTTAAGTTTGATGTTTTAGTTTTTTTCTTTGTTTTTAAAAGATTGATGTTTTAGGTTTTAAATAATGTATTTAGTTTTTCAAAAACCTGTTAACCAATAAAGAAGAGAGAAGTAATATTAATATATTATTAAAAAAATAAAAAATAGCTAAAAAATAAAATAACATTTATCATGATAGAAGTTTCTTGGGATAAATTATATTACAACCATGACTATACTAGTGTTATAGTATATATTTTAATATAAAAATAAATCTGGGAACGTAGTCTGATCCCCTTACCTATTGGTGAAACAAGCCCACGTGAAATTCTGTTGAAAAAAAAAAAAAAAAACAAGCTCACGTGAAATTCTGCAATTTATCCTTCGGAGCAAAGCCAGGAGCGTATCCTGGAGAACGTTTAAAGTCTATCAAGATTTGTTAACTAATAACATTTCTAATGATTGACCAAAAAAAAAAAAACATTTTGATGAAGTACTTCTTTAATTTTGAAAAACGAAATATATAATTTTTATATAATTTTGTGTTTTTTAAATAAAATTATTTTCAATGGTACTCTACACTCTATAGCTTACTTTTCAAATAGAGATTTGTATATAACTCCAATTTTAAAGTCAAATACAGAGATCTCTATCTTTTAAAATAAAACTTTTTTTCACAAAATACTTCTTTAATTTTGATATGATTTTATTTTGTAACTAAACACAAATTATATATTTCATTTTCATACTTAACAAAATTATAGTATCAATAATTAGTTATTTGATGAAGTTTTTTTGTATAGTAAACTTTTAATTTAAATAAAATCATATTTACATGAACTTTTTGTTAAGAAATTTAAAACAAATGGATAAAACTTGTATATTTGTAAAGTAAAAAATCTATTAAAAATAATAACTAAACAGAAATGAAATATACTTGGAATATTATTATTTTTAAAATAGAAAGTAGAAATCACCATTGGGGCAAACCATTCTCTATTTTTATAGTAAAAAATAGAGTAAACCATTGGAGATATCTAATCAATACAATAATAACATCAATGTCTTTCTTAGAGATGACACATCAGTATTTTGGAGCTTTCTGAAAATGACACTTCAGCAAAAAATTTCACCAATCAAAACATTTTATTAATACAACTCATCTACTTATTTTAATTTTTAAATTTAAATTCATTAAAAATCCAAATACTTTTTCTATTAATCTTTGTTTTATTTTTACCAAACCAAAGCCCAAATAATTAATAATAATATATAAAAAATATTTATTTTATTTTTTGCCAGACTCAAACTCAAATAATAAATAACAACAAATAAAAAAAAATTAAATCTTTATTTTTGATTAGCAACACAATTTTCTGTTATTGATGGATAAACAATAACACCAATGTCTCTCCTAGAGATGACTCATCAGCATTTTGAAGCTTTCTGAAGATGACACTTCAGCAAAATAATTCATCAATCAAACATTTTATTAATACAAATCATCTACTTATTTAAATTTTTAAATTTAAATTCATTAAAAACCCAAATACTTTTTCTATTAATCTTTGTTTTATTTTTTTACCAAACCCAAGTCCAAATAATTAATAACAATAAATAAAAAAAAATATTTATTTTATTTTTTGCCAAACTCAAACTCAAATAATAAATAACAACAAATAAAAAAAATTAAATCTTTGTTTTTGATTAGCAACACAATTTTCTGTTATTGATGGATAATGCGATTTTTTAGTTTTCGTATAAAAATACAATTTTACAGTTTTTTGCGGAAAAAATACAATGTAACAATTTTGGCAGAAAAATACAATTTCTCATTTTTGTTAGGAAAACACGCGAGAAAACAATTATTCTTGGCTATGGCGGGAATAGAGAATTTCTCTGTTTTATACAAAATAGATGATTTATTGGTTTCAGTAAAAAATGTGATTTTCAGTTTTAGTAGCAAAACATAATTTCTCGGTTATGGCAGAAAAAACTAATTCTCGGATTTGGCGAGAAAATGTGAATTTTTGATTTTGGTGAGAAAAAAAAATTAATTTTGACGGGAAAACAAAATATCTTAGTTTTGACGGGAAAATGATCGGTTTTGATGAGAAATGTAGTTTTTCAATTTTGACAAAAATGCGATTTCTCAGTTTTCATAGGTAATGCAAATTTTGGCTTTTGACAGAAAATGCGATTTCTTGGTTTTCGCCCGAAAATGTGATTTATTAGTTTTCGCGAAAAATTGGAATTTGATGATTTTGGCGGGAAATACAATTTCTCGATTTTGGCGGGAATAAGCAATTTCTTAGTTTAGATGGGAAATGCAATTTTTCAGTTTTTGATGAATAATGTGATTTTTTTGTTTTTGCGGAAAAATGCAATTTTTTATGTTTCACGGGAAAACACAATTTCTCAAGAGATAATGCAATTTTTTATTTTCACGGAAAATTGTAGTTTATTGTTTTGGTAAGAAAGCGTGATTTTTGGTTTGACGAGAAAATGAATTATTGGTTTGACGAGAAAATGAATTATTGGTTTGGGCGGGAATAGAAGACTTCTCGGTCTTTGCAGAAAAATATATTTTTTTGGTTTTGACGGGAAAATACAATTTTTTGTTTTTTTAGGAAGATTAGATGTTTTGATTTTAGTGAAAAACGTGATTTTTTTGGCTTTTGATGAGAAAACAGAGGTTGTCGTGGTAAAATGAAATTTTAGGTTTTAGGTTTGACGAGAAAATAATTTTTTTTGGTTTTGGTGGGAATATGCACTTTCTCAGTTTCATAGGAAAATTAAGTTTTTTAGTTTTGATGGAAAATGCGTTTTCTCGATTTTTGTAAAAAGATAAAATTTCTTTGTGCTAAATTTCCAAGTTAAAATATGTTTACAGTAACCAAAATTTAATTATTTAACTTCAACTAAATATTTCAACAGTTCAAACCAAATTTTCTATTTAGATCTAAAGCAGTAGCAATATGTTTGATATGAATGTTATTGATTATAGTTTGGTAGTTTTAGAAACATATGTTTATAATAAATATTTCATAAATAAATAAATTTTATAATTCAAGATAATCATATTAATTAATAAATCTTTTTAAAAATGGTATTTTACTTTATATAATTAAAAAGGAGGATCAAGTGACAATTTATTGGAAAAAATAGATTACATTTGCTATTAGCATGAAGGTACTAAAAATTATATTGCTTTATTCTTATATATATATATATATATAATTAGTTAGCTGAACAAATTTAATAGCAAATTATAATTTCAAAAAATAAAAAAAAATTAAAGATATACAATGTTTATTCAAATTAAAAAATATAAATACATAACTTAAGCTAATAAAAAATATAATACTCATTTATATAATAAAAATAGTTTTGTTATATTAAAAATATATACAAAATTTAAAAAAATATCCTGCAGCGTAGCGCGGATAAATACCTAGTTTGATCTAAAGTATTATTCATCAGATTCCACCAAAAAATGCTACACGATTTACCGTTAAAAATATGGTTGGATATTTCTCAAAGAAAATCGAGATATTATAAAAAAAAATTCCAAAAACATGATTCCATAATTTTTCGTCAAAATGCGTATACGTTTCTGCAGTTTTCCCAATCTTTATATGCCCACATTCTTTTGAATGTTTTTCTTTTAAGATCATTTCACAAACCCCACCCCCTAACGGGTTTGGAGTGCTGGTTAATTATTGTTTTGGCCTACGGCTTCGGTTCTATTTTGGGCTCAGAGTAACGTTGATAGTTTCGGGCTAGGATTATAGTCTTCTACGAAAAATTGAAAAGGTTGGGTTCGGCTTAGATACCCTATATGTGTTGGGGTTTGTGTTAAGAGGATAAAACAAAATTTCCAAGAAGTAAAACCATAAATCATTTTCATATTTTTGGGGACATAACACATGCATAGTTGTTTTTTTTACTAGTGCTGCAAATTTCGCAAACTGAAATTTGATATTCGATATTTTGTCCATAACTTAACAAAAAGCTTCAGCGATTAGTGGGTTTCTTCCAGTGTATAGGGTTATATAAAACTCGAGTGAAAAGTGATGTAAATAGTTGACAAAAAAAAAAGTGATGTAAATAAACTGGAACCAAACACAAGTAAATTTTTTTTTCTGAATTAATAAATTTAACAGCAAAAACATACTATTAAACAAATATATATATGAATATGATGAAAGTACTCTTTTCTTTCTTTTGAATCTCTTGTATACCATTTCAAAGGGTGGCTATATGAACTTCAACCACATTACCATACAAAGTCATTCATGCTCATGTGATCATTGGACGAACCCACGTGCGGGGGATTGGTCACGTACTCCACAGGTGGCGATAAGGAGGTGGTGGCTTGGTCGAGATCGGCTGTGAGGCCAATAAGATCGTCTGGGATGGGATAGTGATCGTTTAGATTTCCGATGAGCATTGCAATAGAATCTTCTTCTTCGTCTTTTGGCATGTAATCGAACATTATATCGTCGAAGAAGTTCATGTCGTTGACTTCCATCCACTTATCTTCTTTTCTTTCATTTTGTTTGTCTGTGTACTTTCTAATGGAGAAGTACTGTAATAAGACCAAACAAACAAATACATATTTAAGTAGTTTTTAGAGGTTGATTGAAGTTATATAATTATTAATTTGGGGAAACAAATGTTCGAAAGATTTAATCACTAAACCAAATAAAACCAAAAAGTATATATATATATATATATATAACCTTTGACAAACTCTAATAATTGTTCAGTTTTTTTTAATTGATTGATGATATTTAAAAACACATATAATGTATATAATAGAATCATGCTTTTAATATATAAAAACGTAAAAATAATATTCTACTTCGACTTCATATTTATCGTGAGTTAATAAGATTATAATGCCTTTTTATTAGACATTAGGACTTGGAATTTCTAGACCAACCATGAACAGTTATTATTGACAGAAAAAGGTCAAAAAGGCAATAAATTTTTGTCGGGATGCTTAACAAACTCAATTCAGTGACCCACTTTTCAAAATTTTCCAATTTTGGACTACTTAATCAGTCATTATGTAACATTTTTTTGTCTTTTTGAAAATAAAAATAAAGAGATTTAATAAGAGAGCTCACGAGATTCTTGCTTTCGTCCTCGTAGATTGTTAAAGAATCTCCCATCTCTACTCCATTTTTTTTCACAAATTCTCCTTTAGTTTTCACCACAAAAGGAAAAAAAATTATAATAAAAAAGAGTTTTGAAGAATATTTTTGAAAGAATATTGTAGCTCCTTAATTAATTACCTGTGTTTTCGAGGACATACATTCGGCTCTTGTTATTGGACCAGAACCTATAGTTCACAGTAATGCAAGCTTTAAGTCTTTTAGTTCTAAAATTAATTTAAAACTAACAACAAATTCCAAATGATCAAACAAACAAAAAATTTCTAACAAAAAATCATTCATAATTGAGCTTAAAAGTTTTGATAAAAAAATTGCTAAATTAAAAATAGATTAGAAAATGCTTTTTAAATATAATTGTTGGAATCATAAAAGAGAAATGAAACGAGACTTAACTTGTACTTGAAAGACCACGACTGCATAGAGTCAACATCTCTCATTTCTACTATCATTCCTTCTTTATCAGATAGCTCCGGAAGATTTCCTTCTACTTCTCTCTGCGTTACAAAGCCATGAATTACTTAAATAAAACTGCCAAAATAATATAGAGTGATTTCGATGTATGCCATTTAAGTGGCAATTAATTAGGAAAAACAAGTAGACGCTTTTCCATTTTTTCTTCAATACAATCTTCCTTTTCTTCAACCCATTTTAAAGTAAAGTCATATTAATAGTTTCACTTTAGCTAACTATAAATAGAAAATTTGATTATTTATCATCTATTTCATTTATTGGCTATTACAGTACTTACAGTACATTGATTTCTTTTTTTCTTTCAAATTTCATTATTGGGTGCTCATTTCAGAAATTGGAATTTGTTAGTCCTTCAAATTTAAGATGTATTTAACCAAATTTTAACTTAAAAAGTCTTAGACTTTAAATGTTAAGCTAATTCATTAGACTCACTAAACTAAAACTAAGATAAAATAAGAACATAAAAAATTCGCACAGAAACGAACAAAATATTGATTAAACAATTTTACTTCATTCCACACTTGTCATGTTTCATATTCCTCTTGTTTTCCGTGTGGTTTTAGAGACTAAACTTCTTATTGGTTAAACAACGAAACAGTTAAAAATATTTTGAGTTGAATAAAATGTGTGAAATAGGAAGTTTTGAACCGAGAGAATATGTGACCGCATTTTTTGTTCTATACGAAATCATTTCACTTTTCTATAACTTTTTCCATGGAATTGAGGTTTTAAATTTCGTGGTTACGTGATTGATAATATTTTATCAGACCATTTCCACCAATTTTATATTTTCAAATTTATTTGATCATCATATCATAACGAAACAAAGAATTGTAAGAATTTACACACCTTTGGTAGAACAATCCTCCCAAGTGATCCAACATCGCTGTTCTTCAAGTGCTTTACTAACAAAACCCTAAGCTTCTACAATCAACCACAATTTACAAAAATGCACGATCAAGTAATTTGAAACCAAAATTCTAAAAACTCAAAATTTTGGACCAGCAAAAAAAAAGGAACAAACAAACCTTGTTATCGAATGAGGAAAATCGATAGAGATCTTTTGTAGCGGTAAGCTCGGATTTAGTTTTCACGTTAAGAGCCACTTGTCTCCTTGAATCAACCAACTCATTTGAACTAGAATTAGTGCTAGAGTTGTGTCTTGATCTTATCATCGCCTTCTTCCTGTTGATCCTGGCCATCTTCGTCATTTGTGGATCAAGAAATCCACCCCTTTCATGTCTCAAACCGGGATTACAAACCAGAGAACCGAATTCACTTCCGGTTTGCGTTACCGGGAACTGAGGAAAAGCCTCCGATGAGTGAAGCGGCTGAGAATTCATCACCGCCGTCTGCTCCATCGGGCATGCAACGTTTGGATACAGCGGTAACATATGGTGATGATGATGGTGATGATCATAAGTTGGGATCGTTGAGAAGTTTGAACGATTGTTGCCTAGATCCATTGAGAGTTCTTGGACAGAGTTTGCGTTAGAAGAGGAAAAGGGCAAGAAGTTATCCATTTTTCCCGGGGGAGAGAGAGAGAGAGAGAGAGAGAGAGAGAGAGAGAGAGAGAGAGAGAGAGAGAGTTATGAATGGGAAGATAAAAAGAGAGGGTCGTTGGGGATATTGCAAAAGGAAATAGAGAGAGAGAGAGCGAGTGAAGAAGAGACAGATGTTGGAAAAACACAAAAGAAAACGAGTCAAAATGTTGCAGATGGTTCGATGCTGCACCTTATAGGGATACCCACCTCACCACTCACAAGGAGAGAGAGGAAGAGATATGTATATATGAATGTTAATACAGATACATAAACATACATAAATGTATATGTGGCGCCAAATTGGTGTTTGAATGTATATAATGATTTTTATGGCACAGAAGACCACGAGAAGGTCATTGGCTGTATTTTTTTTTCCTGAGAGAGAGAGATTATGAAGGCTCTTTAGTCTTTAGTGTTTTTTTTTGGAATCTTTTCAGTGTTTTTTGGAGTATTTGTTTGCCATTGATATTTTGTTTTGTTTTTACATATTTTTGGAAAACGGTTATAACCTTCTTATAAAAATGGTTATGAATTCGAACATTGAATAAGACAAATCAATTTAATTATAGAAATGATATGATTTTTAAAATATTAAAATTTGGGGAACTTCTATTAACTGTCATTTATATTTTGTAGAAACTCGATTAATGACCAACAATATTTGTAAGTTTTTCTTTATCACCTTTTACATAGTTTTGAAATGTGCTTTATTAGAATTAAAACAAACTATAATTTCAAATAATTAAATTTATAAATAGATTGCCGACAAGAAAAATCTAAGTTGCAACTTTTTGTGTCCGAGGTTATGAACCTTTTGAAATAATCGCCGTTCGTCAAAGTTTGAATGGATATATAATTTATGACCATTTTTTTATTGATTATTGATTAATTTATTATGTACACCTGCTTTTAAACATACACAATTTTTTTTCAGTTTATAAGTTAGATCGTAATGAGTTTTGGTTTAATATAAATTAAATTCAAATAGATTTATGCTCATATAAATTTAGAATTAGTAGAAGTTTTTTTTTACTGATAGTATAAATATTTAGAATGGTTTAAAAATCCAAATTTATGGTCGTATCTATCTTTTTATTCTATATTTAAAATTAGTTTCATGTCTATTCCAAAACAATATGCAAACAAGTGTTTTGATCAAACTAAAATATTTATGTATTATAGTTTTTTTCACCAAATTAAACTACTTTTAATATTTGAAAATTTTGATATAATGTTTTATAATTTTATATAAATATATTTCAGTTAAACATTTAAGTTTGATAAAATTAAATAACATGTGAGGTGACTTAAATATGATGGACTGTTTTTCCAAGATAATTATTTGAACAAAAGAAGGGGTGAAGAATTTCCAAATATTTATATAAATTAATAGATTTATTTCCTTAATTTTAAACCTATTATTAAAAAAAATTTGTCACTCACAATTATAAGTACAAAGACAAGTATCCCGACCAAGTTTGGTTTTAATACAATGTCCAACTCCATTGTATTCTTCATAGCAGTTTAGACGACACTTAACTCCATCATCATTATTACAATGATCTTTTGGATCAGTGGTCTCATAACAAAACCCCTTAGCTTTCGGAACAACTAAAAATACTAGAAAAGTAAACATTATATTATTATGTGAAATAATATCTATATAAAACGATTAGATATTTTACGTAATATAAATTTCAAAATAAAATATTATTATTTGATAGTTGAAAATAGAAAAATGAAATTACCTGAAAACACAAGCATGAGTATGAAGAAGTAAAAACATGATAATTTGGCCATGATCAAATGATCGCTATCACAACAAAAGAAAGTTACTAATGTTTTATAAATTAGAGATGGTAAAAGAAAAATTCTTTATTTGCTTTCTTATTTTTTTGAAAATGAATGTGTTCTAATGTGTGCATTTATATACAGTCACACATGGTGTTTTTATTGAAAGTGAATGTATTCACATAAAAGTAATTGACTTGACCAAAAAAAAAAAGGGGGAAAGTGAATTGAATATTCAGAATGTAAGGGTTGACTACATTGATTACTATGTGCACATTCTCAGTTATCACTATATATGTTAGAATCCCCATATATTAATTAAAAACCTTTTTTAGAGACTAACCTTAATTTTGTAAGTTATTTATAATGAGGTTATTTTGCTGATGTGTCATCACTAAAATCTTTCTCAACAAATATATAAAAATAGACTAATTACATGTTTTATCATTCACATGAATTTGTTTATTCAATAGTTTATATCAATTATTTATTCATAATTTATTAAAATATTTTCTTTTTTATTTCTTATCAAAATATATTATATCATTTTTTAAATACTATATTTTATCTCTTATTTTTGTTTGAGTTTATTTTTGTATGAAAATAAATCATCATATATGGAGATCCATATAGTAAAAAGTATATGCATACCAAAAAAATATAGTAAAAAGTATATAATTTTTTTTTATATATGAGTTGTAATTCGAATTTCTTAAAGCAAATATAAATTATTCAAATGATTAATAAATAAAAGTATGCTTTAAAAATCTATAATTGGAAATGAAGATGTGTATATATGATTCATAAATCATTATAAAAAACACAAATGATAAAAAACTCAGAAAAAGAGGAAGCTTGATTTAATAGATATTCATATCATAAGTATTTTTGGTTTCATATGTCTTTAGAACCATACAAATTAATCAAATAATATAAATATTTAAGCTTGATAAAAAACTATAAAATATTATATAAAAAAGTCGAACTGTTATAAATACATAAATATATTAAAATAAAATAATATTGGTTTGATTAAGAAGTTTAATATTATAAATATTAATTTATTTAATTAAGATATTATATAATAATTTAATTAAATTTTCGATATTAATTTTTTTATACAATAAAAAATTAAGAGTTTATAAATATTAAATCAGTTATATATAATTATAGATAATTTATTAAAATATTAAACTTCAAAAATATATAATATATTTTTATATAATCCTTTGTTTAGTATTTAAAATAAATTTTATAATAATTTGCTTTTTCTAAAATTAATATTTTTATGACTGTTAACTTTGCGGGTTAATCTAAATATGCAATTATAGTCGTATAACAAAATATTAAAATCGATTATAAAATTATATAATCAATTTTTGTTTTAATAATTTTAATAGCAATTTTTTTTATTATTATCATAATGCAATAGAAATTAGCTAATTATTTAATCAAAATGTATTCCACTGTTTTTTTAAGTACGATATTTAAGGTTTTAACATTATTTTAAAAAATTGATGTTTTAGATTTCAATTAATATATTATGTTTTACAAGAAGCTCTCTACCAATTAGAAAGAGGAAAATAGTGCTAATATATAATATAAAAATAGCTAAAAACTAAAAAAGAAATTATAATTGTAAAATATGTTATAATATAAGTGATTATCTATTAAATTTGATATATGGTAACTATACATATGATTTATCAGTAACAAATTTAGATGTAAATAATTAATTTAAAAAATTTCTTTAATTTTATATTTACTGTTACTAATGTTGTGATGTGCATTTTAAAATTACAGAGAATTTAATAGAAAACAGGTGATTTATAAGTTTCACATAATTGTTTTTCCTAATTTTATCATGTATTTTTTATATTATATAATACATGTTATTTTTTACTAAGTGGCTATATACAGATTTCTAATTTATTAAGATATTCTCCATTTCTATTTGAGCTTAAATATTTTGAAGTACAATTATTCAGAATGTTTTAATTATAAATAATTAAAAAATATTGTCCTAAGATTATTAACATATATTAAAAATTATTACTAATACAGATTGTATTTTAAAAATAGATAGACTTCCGATTAACTCTCGTTGATAACATTCAATTGACTTTAACGACCATTCATGCTTTTATATACAGATTTATTAGTAAACTAGATAATTGGTCCGCACATATGTGCAGGCATGAAAATTTTATAAAAAATTAATTATTAATAATATATATTATTAGTAATAGATAAGTAATTGACCTGTTTGGTAATATATTTGTAAGAAATTTTTGTTTGTTAAAAAATGTTTTAATAGATTTAATAAATTGGGCCATAGTAAAAAATAAAACATACACAAAACTTAAAATATTTTTAAAAAATTAAAAAATAAATAAATGATTCTTCATTATTCGTTGTTTTCTATTTTTTCTTTATATTTTTCATCTTTTTATAGTTTTTTCCGTCACTTTACGTCCTATTTCTGATTCGTAATTCTCATTATATAATTGAAATACATTCACATATAATATAAACTTTTGATCTTTATTTATAGTGAGACAAAGTAAGATGATAATAAAAGTAAAAAAAATTCTTCTTCTAAAAATCTGATGCCGCAAAATTTCACACAAACAATTGAACTTGTAAATATTTCACTAAAAACTTACTTAAAATAAGATTTCAAAAATTTCTATCTAAAAACCAATTTAACAAATTTCATGCTAAAAACATAAATAAGTAACTTTTGCACCAAAAGAATTACGTCAAAATATGAGCTAAAAACATTTTATCAAAATATTGATTTTTTGAATTTTCCGCCAAAAAGTGAATCCATAAAAAAAATTCACCAAAAACTTTACATTAAAAATCTGATTCCAAAAAGTGACAGTCAAAATTTTGATTTCATAAATTTCCTGCTATATAAGTGAAACCGTATATCTTTCGTCAAAAAATTTATTTAAAAATTCTATGAAAACCCGATTTCAGAAATTTTCTGCAAAAATCATCATCATTACACATCATCATTTCCATGTCATATTAAAATTGTTCAAACTAAACATATTAACCAATCAAATTAAAACAAATCAGTATTTTTCATTAAACTACATTCTCAATTAATAGGTAGAAGATTATTATTAGATTTTGGATAATGTTTTTGATTAAATATTTTTTGGAATCAAAACTTTTTATTTGATTTTACAAAAATAGTTATTTAAATTAATTTATTGTTATAATTATTGTTTTCCAAATTAAAAACATAAAATTATGTCTTTCTTTAATTCATATGAAAATGCTGAATTATATTGTTAATCATGAGTTTATACAGCGACTTCGTAATTTTACCCAGATGACGCATATATATTTAGCTTTTAAATTAATTTTCTTAAGAATTAAATGATTTTATATTTTATTAAATAAACATATATATATATTATCATTATTACAGCATAATGTTATATATAATTCATATCAAATCAATTGTATGATGTTATGATTTTAAAATTATACTACATTAAATAAATTATTATTATGTGACTCCGTCTTACGTGCAGATTATTACTTAGTTATAGAAATCATCTTAACCAAACAAATTTTAAATTTACTTTTAAGAAGAAGATTTTTAATGTTATTTTTATTGTATCCTATTTTTATAATAAAAACACTTCCAAAGTTGAAACAAAAAACTATTAAACTAAATAGTAATTTATATCATGCACATAATGAGAATTATATAAATTTTTAAATAAATTTATTTTTAAATTATTTGAACTAACAAAAAAGTTTCATATGTAATAATATTTATGAATAGTAACATAACTAAGTAATGACTCACACTCTATATACGGTGAAATAGTTAATTAATATTTATTTATATTAATATAATTTAAAAATTATATAATATAAAAGATATAGTTTTATTTGTGTTTATATAATATTATACTATAACATTAACAATAGATATAACATTGACAACAAAATATACACAAAACTATCTAATTTGTGTATGATACAATTATGTAAAAATTTGAAGTTATCATATAAATATTTTATATCATATGATTGATGTCATGATTCAATACTTTCACCGATGCTCATGCTTTCGCTTCTTCTTCCTTTTAGGTTCTTCTACTAAATCATTATCACTTTCATGAACACTACTCCTCTCCTCCTTCTTCTCCCTCTTCTCCTTCTCCTTCCCATCTTTCTTATCCTTCCCCGTCTCTTTTCCCTTTTCCTTCTCCTTTGAAATTTTCTCAAATGTCTCATTCCACACTGTCTCATCTAAATATCCATCGAGAATATCATTTAACATATTGTGAAGCTTTAGATCCACCTGTGGCGTTGACTCCTCGTCTAGCCAAAACGGATATAAATCCTCTCGAGAAATCTCGACTAGATGCCTCACCCTAACCTGTAGATAAAAATAAGGTATACAAAGCAAAATCATAATACTAACAAGTATATTATGTATATATGTCTATCAAAATTATTACTAATAATTCTACCACAACTAATACTAACAAGTCTACCACGTATGTATATAAGTCTACCATAACTAATACTAACAAGTCTACCATAACTAATACTAACAAGTCCACCACAACTAATACTAACAAGTCAAATGAAAATCAAATCTAAAATACTGATATGCACGTATCCGGTTCAATAAATTCGACTCAGAATCTTAAAGACGAGCATAACAAATACATCATACACAACAAATATAATAACACTAACAATAATCAAGTTGTCATATGCCTCTACACAAGAAATTCGTTCATTTCACTGCATAGAGTCGGAGAAACACACAAAAAATTCATAGATCACACCTAAATTTTAAGAACAGTTCACATCATATTTCAACCATAACTAATGTTATAACTACCAAAATACTATATTTGTAAGGAAAATATACCTTCTTGTCATCGAATCTGCTTTTTTCTTCCTCCAATACTTTCTCAAGAATATATCTATCCCTTGACGACTGCCAACGAAGTAGAGGACACAGTAAAGTGAGCGGATTATTCTCAAATTTGCTAATTTTTTCTCCTAATATCGGGACTGACTCATACACCCATATAAGCAATACATGC